GGTCCGCGGTTCGCGCCACATTCAAATGAAACCCAGCGTTTGGCTGCGCTTGCAACATGTCAGCACTTGTACGATCGCGTCCAACACGATCACTCACTTGTTTGTACTTGTCACAACCTTGGTAATCTGCTCACTCTCAAAGCCATATTGTTCCCTCGCTTTCTCTAGCAGTCTGGTACACTCTCACTGAACAGCAGTATTGCTTTGCCAGGTCGTAATTTGGCGTGCCGCCAAGCTGCACAAAGTGCGGGAAAACGAGCTTCATTTGCAAATTGAACGCGGCCGTTGTCCAACCTTGCATTGGTTCTACTTTTTTTTAATCCATTAATTCACGGGTTTGAACGCTGGAGACACTGCCAGTCCTATATCTCTAAGTAACCGTGAGATTCATTGCGATTACATTTCCAATGATTGGTGTGACTCGTATACACTTTAGCATATCCTTCATAGATTTTTCCTATGAAGAATATGCTTTTCGTTATTCAATTATTGCATCTGAAACATGCTCGGCATTTTGTTAATCCATGTAAACATGCGAACTATTTATTTAGTGAAGACCTCTAGACAGGGCTAGTAGCATTTCGTAGGTTTAGAAGCATCTACAGGTGTTATAAATACTTGGCAAGATGCCCCTTACATGGAATTCGCCCCGTTCTTTCTTTTATAAGGAGTTTTTGAGCGCAAACAAGTTTTCCTTACATTTTACGGGTAGATCCCCATTGCCGAACCTATCCCAGCATTATGGTGTATAGCTCTTCTCTAGAATCAAGGCGTTAAGCAAATCTGTCTCAGAACATTGGGCTTGAGGACAAACGCAAGACTTAAAGAATTTTGGAAGTATTCCGGGCTGTACGCGACCGTGGCTTTGTTGTCTTATCAGCCGTTTTCCTACGCTTATCTCTGATCTCTGCCAAGAAATTTAAAATAATTTGATTGCGGGGTAGAGATCGTCTGTGTGGTCTAGTACATGAGGATGAGGCCTGCGAAGGGCGCTATGATTCATTCTGACGCACTGGTTTCTTTCTTTCGTTCAAGGAAAAAAGTTTGCACGTGCTGCTGTTAACCCTAATCTCTCAGTAATTTCCAAAGGAGCTATTTGAAGCTTCCATTTTGACTCAGTGCTCGTTTCTTTTAATCCCTCGGGGAGATTGATTGTTTACTTTTCAGTTCGTCAAAAAAGAAGTGTGTTTGCGAGAAATGGCCCGTCGCAGACGTATGGTAAGAAATGATGGATCTACTGAGACGAATGGGGAAACGAGCTCTGGGTACGCATGTTCTGTCAATGTTTATTGGCCCGATATTGCACAGCTGTTACGGAGATCGTATCTTGCCATTCGCGCCCTTTATCTGGTGGCACTAATAACTAGGCTATAAGCGGGCTGTGGACTGTAATGAAGGTCATAGTTTTCAAAGAAAGGTTCGAATAGCAATCATTTGATGAGGGCATTAGATATAGATGAACAAAATCCGAATTGAGTATAGTTATTGCAGAGGAGTAGTCGTTTTCTTTGTAGAGGAATGGGCGGAAAGCTTTCATTTGTTTCCACTAATATGCAGATTTTTTGAGACCCCTCTTTTAGGCCAGCTTCTTGGGACGCGTTGACCTACAAACGGCCAAAGAAGTTAAAAGTACCTTGTGCACGTGTTGAAAGCGATGGCGAGTGGTTTCAAATCGAACGAGTTCTGGAGACGGTCTGCCTTGTTGGAAGTGATAAAGGATGGCAGAACCTGGTTTGTTCTCTGCATTTATTAAGGAATATAGTGCTTTAGGCAGATAATATCATAGGATTCCTGAATTTCATGGTTTAGCAGCTTCTTCTTGTTTTCTTGTTGAATGAAACTCTTCAAGATATTTATTTGGCAACGTTTCAGGCCTTAAGCCTTCTTCAGGTCTACAATATGATATAATATCTATCGATTACCATTCAAGCATCATTTCTAGCTGAAGTGTACTAGAAACTATTGGACATACGAAATAAGCAACTAACCGACTATTAAGGCAAGTAGTTTTGGTCCAGGGGAACGGGGAACGACTTGCCTTTACGTGAATTCACGTGGTTTCCGAGAAGAACTCGTTCCCCTGGACAAAAACTAGTTGCCTTAATAGACAGTTAGTTGCTTATTTCGTGTTTCCAATAGTTTCTAGTACACCTCAGCTAGAAATGATGCTTGAATGTTAATCGATAGTTACCATATAGTAAATACGTGTAGACCTGAAGAAGGGCTTAAGGCCCGAAACGTTGTCCAATAAACATCTTTGAAGAGTTTCATTCAACAGGAAAACTTTGGACAGAATTAGCTGGTTCATCGTTGCCTATTTTGGTATTCATGGTCCCCTGAATAGCGCTCACATTGCTAGTTCTGTCGCATAGTGGTGCGAGATCTTTCTAAGATTCTGTTAGTCCAGCTAAGTTTTTTTTACAGGTCTCCACTTTTTATCCCTTATTCATACTTCGCGCACTCTGTGTTTCGCGCAAAATGGGAGTCACGAAATGATACCTTTCTGCAAAATTGCGTATATATGTTCCCAAGCCAGAACTCCAGCCTATCTATATATCTTTTCGTTGTTTCCACCCGGTTAATAAAATATTGTGCTTTTAATGTATCAAATCCAACTATTTGACTTCTGTTTTGTTTTACAGGTGCAATGGAAACCGAACTGGTCAAAGCAAATCCACACTCCATCAGCTCTGAAAGATTTCTATGGTCGTGCCACCGTATTAGGTTGTGTGGTGAAGGTGAGTTGATCCTTTTTCCATTACAGTACTTGTTTTACTGTTGTATATTCTATCGTTACGCTTCCAGAACGAAACTTTGCGATCCAGAGTTCGTCGGAAGATTGAGTGGAATCGAAAAGAATTTATGAGCTGCAATTTCCGTATTCGAGTTGAGCATCCAGATGGATCTGTCACTTCTGAAGTGAGCTTCCTCTACTCTTGTGATATTTTTTCAAAAATTTGTTGCTAGTCAAGACGCTTAGTTTTTTTTTCATATAAATAAAATCACCTACTAAAGGCAGTGAAGTTTTTCCTTGTAAACTTGAGAAAAAGGGTCCATAAAGTTTGAGTTCGTTCATAGCAGCCCAACTTTATCAGGTTTTGCCTTATCCCGATGTAAAGCGACCGATTTCCTGCCGCATTGTTCGAATATATGGAAAATAGAATGCCTCCGCCCCGTATACCAGAGAAGGATGATGGCTTACTTCCAGTCTACAATAACGTAAGTCTATCCCCAGACTTATTGCAGTTTCCATACTGTAAGAGTCCGCAAAGAAATCTTTTTTCAGATTAATATTCCACGCTGTTTGTACCTGCACAAATGTGTGGCTAAGAAGGAGGAGAAGGCTCAAACGCCGACTTCGGATGTTCAGAATCCTCCGGCGGATCATGTCGAAAGTCTAACAGTTGTGAAGCAAGAAGTGTCTCCATCATCTTCACCAAAGAAGGACTTCATACAGGACGTATGTTCCGAAAGTGTTCCGCTGAAGGAAGGGTTCGACGTTCGAAAGAAAGCCGGTCTTAAACGAAGATCCAGTCGTCGTTTCGGAGCAAGGACCAAATGGTCTCGTAGTAGAAGCTTGAACGCGAGAGCTAGCGCTAACGAGCTGATTAGCTCTCCATCGACCAAGGTGCAGCAGCCGTTCAATGAAGTTTCAAATAGAGAAGAAGCCAGAGCCGCTCATACGAAGGTTACGATGCCCCCTGGAATATCTCCGGCTTGTGCGCAAGAGTTTCTTAGAAAGGTTCGTAGCGCTGGCAGACGCCGATCTACTCCATCTCATACGAATATAAAGTTACGAAACTCTTCTTCAAAGCATCTGAACGGGAAGCGACCATCTACGTCAAATACGGATGAGGAGATCGTGGTGATCGGAGGTGATTATTCTTCTGTCCTTCATTTCGCACTTATAACGCCCATCTGTCTCTTTCAGAAAGTACTCCGAAGAACGAACCCAATAGATCTCGTCTCTCACTTCCCAACAACAGATCAGTGCGCTCGATTTCGACTCCTAGATCATCACTCAAAAGACGTCCAAATGGAAAGAGAAGTCCTGGCGCGAAGGAAAATCACGAAAGAGGTAAGTCACTTGGATTTCTTGCAGCAATAATGTCCTGATTTATCTGGGCTCCAGCACTCCATCTAAGTAGTTACTGGTTTTAGATATGAACAAATCACTGAAGAAGCCATCCGATTCTGGTACAAAGTCACAGCATAAAACGATGAGTGCCAAACGTCCGCGACGTTCGAGCGAGGACGGAAAATCACTCAGGTACTTCACTCGGTGACAACGAGAAATAAAAATTATCTGGAAGAATCTGTTTTCTCTACTCTGTAGCTAATTCAGTGCAATATCCTGTACAAAGCACTTATTTTTAGTTCTAAGCGATTTACGCCGATGCGTCCTCGAAACTCACTGGACTACTATTTCAACTGTGCCTCTCGTAAAATCGAGGTTCTCGGAAATGTTACCAATCAGCAGAACATAAGTACTAGGTGAGGTTTTTTCCTTTATTCTTGTACTTTTTCAGTTTTTATTTCAGTGGTAGTTGCGATATTGAGAGCACTCCCGAATTTAGTTCTTACCAGGGAAGTCCGCCAACTTACCATGGAACTTTGAATGGAGACCTGGGTAGATCGATAGAGTCTATAAGGTTATTTAAAATATAGATAGCAAAACTGCAACCTGCATTTCACAAGCAACTTATGAGCAGGTAAAGTTTGTAATGGTGCAGGGTGGAGGCTTGGTGGTGAGCTGTGAAGCATAAGCGAGGAATCGCATACGTCGAATCGAGTCGAATCGAGTCGTGGTGGTTCAGTGGTAAGGTTCGACGTTCGACGACTCGATTTGACGTATGCGATTCCTCGCTTATGCTTCACAGCTCACCACCAAGCCTCCACCCTACACCATTACAAACTTTACCTGCTCATAAGTTGCTTGTGAAATGCAGGTTGCAGTTTTGCTATCTATATTTGTAAATAACCTTATAGACTCTATCGATCTACCCAGGTCTCCATTCAAAGTTCCGTTCTAAGTTGGCGAGAGGTTGGTTCGGACTTGGTAGAAGTTCTTGGGACAGCCACAATTCCTTGGCTGGGGAGTGCATCGTTGGCTCTGCGCTCGTGCTCGAGAAGGGGCTGCAAGGTATTTTGGCCTTTTTAACTGAACCAGTATCAGAATAAGTGTCAACGGCAAGGCATTCCTCTTTCCTTTCCTCCCTCCTCCCTTCTTTTCCTTTCCCCTATTGTTCCATTTTCCTTATTTTCCTCCCTTCAAGTGCTCGGTCAGAACAGGCAACGAGGAAATACTTCTGGACACTTGCAGCTACAGAGCATGCGGTTGGCTAAACCCTCTTGCCCCTCTCCACCTCTCCCTCCTAGCGAGAGATGCGAGTGACAGAAGCCCTGCGATCAAGTTTATCACGTCTGCAGTCTCATGACTTTGCCGGCGCTGGGGAGGGCAAGGCTTGCATCCCCCTGGGGGCGTTTATTTGATACTGAACTGTCTGAGAGCATGAAGTCCTGGACCGTGAATCGATTGGCCACAGTAATTCTCTTCTCGGACGAAATCGCTTCTAAATTGCCTCTACGCTTTTGAAATGAACTAAGATGTGTGGCGCCGTACCATCTCAATCAATGTCGAAACTTCTGTTCTTTTATATCCCTTGTTACCGTCATATTAGGTGGAATTGCACAGGAACAGTGAATTTCGAATACTCTTAACATTTTCAGATGCTAGTTAGAGAGCTTCGTCACGATTCTTCCATGCACTTGAAAATGTCTGCTACATGGATGGAACGGGAGTTAGTTGTCAGCTGTTTGTTGGAAGGATTGTACAAAGCCGATATGAACGTATAAATCGCACTCACATTCTATAGCATCTCCTATCCATATCTCTTTTGATTATATGATCAAGAAGTCAGAAGAATCTGAAGGGAATATTTTGTTTGATATCTCATTAGAGTTGCATTTATTATTTCTTCGTGCATCCGCTTTGTGGTGCTTTTATTCAGCGAATGTGCTACTTAATTTTCTCTGTTTTTCGCTACCTGTAGATGTGCTGTAATCTCAAATTAGTTAGCCCTGCACGGCCTTATGCGGTTATCGTTAAGTATGTGGGCTGTATGCTGTTTGCCGTTTTTTTTTTCTTTTCCTGGTGTTCTAGCGTAATTCCAACATTATTAGCTATGTGAGTTAAAGCTTTACATTATATCAAGAACTTTCTTTCCATGACTTTCCATGAACTGGTTCATGTATACATATCGTTTAGGTGAACATTGCCTTTTGCCTGCGAACTGCCATTCTTCGCTCACATATTTTTGATGTTCAAGCAGTGTTGTATGTCTTAATTCTACCTCGTTAGAAATTTAAGCTTGTGTAGCTGAAAGCTTAGCTTCAGCTACGCGATACGCAATAAACTGCCCCAAGCTCTTTTATAGTTCTGGTAATGGTAATACGGTTTGCTCTGGTATTCATGCTTAGCATTATCTGGATGTTCCGGTTTTTCTGTTTTGTAATTGATTATGTCGAGGTTGTTCAATCAAGTATCAGAATAAAGAAATCTTTGAATATGTTCCTTCGTCGTGTGATGTTAAATCATTCGCATACGTTTCGATCTACTAACTTACCGTTTTCACATATTTCTCCTTTCCAATTTGAGCGGAGGGACTGTTGTCGCGCGCTTGCGCGATAGATATTGTTACGAGAGAAGTTTTTACTCGTTAGACCTCTAGTGTGAAGGGAGAGGTTCGGCAGGGTGACACCATTTACCCGAGCTCCCAGCGTCTCTCGCAAGAACGTCATGCGTCAACTGGAATGGGAAGACATGGGAGTGAAGATCGACGGTCGGCAACTACACCATCTCCGCTTTGCTGACGACATCGTTTTGATAACACCAAACATCGAGCAAGCGGAACGAATGCTGGCTGATTCGACTGCGCGTGTGGAAAAATCGGTCTACGGCTGAATCTAACGAAGACGATGTTCATGAGAAACGGATTGGTTTCTGATGCCCCATTCACGCTCAACGGAACGACCATCTCTGAATGCTATGTGTACCTAGGTCGTGAAATCAATATGATGAATGACTTAGCTCCAGAGCTGAGCAGGAGGAAGCGAGCGGCTTGGGGAGCCTTCAAGAACATCGAGGGAGTAGCGAAGAAGACGAAGAACACCAAGCTCCGTGCCCACCTCTTCGATTCCGCGGTCCTTCCTGCCTTGACGTACGCCTCAGAGACTTGGACTCTACGAAAGCAGGATGAGCATGCGGTTGGCGTTCAACGCGCCATCGAAAGGGCGATGCTCGGAGTTTCCCGCTACACGCAAGTGAGAGAGGGAATCCGGAGCTCCGCACTCCGCCAACGATCGAAGATCAGAGACGCCGCCCAAGGTTCCGAAGGATTAGATGGCCGGCACGTCATGCGTTCTGAAGGACGACCGCTGGACCAGAGCGATCACCGACTGGATTCCACGGGATGTCAAGCGAACACCTGGACGACCGCCTATGCGATGGTCAGACTTCTTCGTGAAAGCTCTGAACGA